AAAGTTGGATACTACGTGTATATTTAACCTAAACTCCCACTCATCCCCTCCCCTTCAACGTTACACTGAAATTAATTCCCTGGGTTTTTATAGCAAGAGTCCCTGAGGAGCTGAATAGCAGCACCAAAGCACGAGGAAGCTGGGAGCAGGAAGGGCCCTAGACGTGGGTAAGGAATGTTAAATAGCGCTGTAGCTACACTAAGTGACTCAGTGTGGATTTTCATGGTTGAATACACTACCCCATTCAGAAGACTTCCTTTTAAGCCAGAAGGTCCCCGTGTGTGGGGAGGATGCACCTGTCATGCGAATTAGCAGGTTACCAACATACTCTATAGCCCATTTGCAAATACCAATGGCTGCTTTTCTACAAAAAGTTGGTTTTACGGTTCTTTTTGCAAGGCTTTAGCTAGCAGAGCTGCTGGATAATGAAGCTGTATTGGTCAGTAACATCACAGTGGTATGGTTTTGCAGCTTGTTACACTGTCTGGGGTAAGCTAATATGAATGACAGTGCCATATTAAGATTGTAGCCAGGTAACGTTGAAATCAGAACCTCCGGTCAACAGCTGACAGATCTCCCAAGAAAAAAGCAAACACCCACAAGCCCATCATCCTCTTCAGTTGTGCAGTGTGGCAGGCACATATGCAGAAGACAAAACGTTTGAGACAGGATCTGAAATGCCATCCTCTTGAAATAAGTCAGACTTACATTTCATACCTCAGCCTAAAACATGAGAAAGGAACTGACCTCTAGGAAGAAATCCCACAAAGTTCTAAGCTGACAGCATTAAGAACAGACAGCGCTGTCTAGCCATAGAAGAATTGAGTCCTAACACATGTTCACGTAAGTAGTTTCACTTATTTAGACACTGAAAACAAATCACACTTTTCATATAGTGATCCTCAGAGACTAAATAGAATGTGTGTTTTTCCATTCAATTAAACCCCAAAACGTTAAAAGTTCAGGGTTATGAGAAGCCAAGTATTCTGAAGACCAAAGAACACATTTAAAACCCTGATCTTGTAATACACTGGGCTGTCAGGCCTGTAGCCTCAATTAAATTGAGGATACTCTGCTGGCCCACTCAGTTCCTGGACTACAGCCCAAGTTTCCATACTCTTTTAGTTCTTCCATCAAATATTTGTGTGTGGACACTAATCCTCATGGAACTTATTCCAGGAACTCATTTCACAGTCAGAGCTCCAATGATCAACAGTGGCCTGCGATACCAGAATGTGCAGTTCTCTATTCCCTTAAAGGCTTGTCTATTCAAAACAAGAATTACAGTACTTAATGTTTAATACTGGAAACCTTTCAGATCCTAGCTTGTTTTGCAGTGGGTTGTTTTACTTCTAACATTCTGATGTAAAAAGCCTTACATATCAATTCTATTGGCAAAGTTCATTGACAAGAGGCAGTTAAGAAAACCTTCCACTCAAAATCAAGTGGACACCAAATTGTGTATAAAATTCTATTGAAGGCTACTCCCTCTGTGAAAACAAGGATACTGCGTATTTTCAGATGGTGTCCTGCGACTCAATCAATTTTAGATACATTTTATATACCAACCATAGTTTCCATTTCTCTACAAACCATACTCTTCACAATTCAGTATTAATTTTAATTTTTTTTATAGTTAACTAAATAACCGGGACTTTATTTTAGATACTCAGCATTCTGATGATAACATCTACTTCCAAATGCTTAACAGCTATGGCCAAACTTCCAATAATGAATTTAATGGCTACCTGTTGAAAAGCCACTGCATATACAATCACTCCAATGCAGCTAGAGGCCTGTAAAAAGCCTCTTGGCTTTAATTTACATGTGAAATCAGCAGGACTATTTTCTCCATCTATCACAAAAAACATATCAAGTTTTACTTTAAAAAACCCAACAAAAAGTTACATATTGCTTACTTTTACTTCTGCAAGCTAACTTGCTCATTGTTTCAAAAACACCTGGCTCTTTATTAGACTCCTTGCTGAGAGTGACTTGCTAGAAAAATAAAGACATTATCCTTCCAGGAATACAAAATGGCACATTAGCTAAAAATAATAAATAACAATAATAAAGTATATTATTCTTCATTGATAAAAAAGTTTCCATTTCAATAGTAATAGTCTGGAGACCATCCTTATCTGTGTTAGGGAAACACAATTTACCAAAAACAAATCCAATTTTTGGAAAAAAACCCCACAACAACAAAACCAAAAAAACCCCAGACATTAGATTAGTCCAGTATAACCTAGAAAAATTAACTGTACTTCTGATGCTACATTACTGATAAAATAGCAAAATACAAGAAACTTCCTTTTTATTTAAAATTACTATTGAGAAAAAGTAGTTTCTTTGGAGAGAGAGGCCACTACGAAAGATTTGGAAAAAACCCCCAAAACCCAAAACATGCACTTCAAATCTGTTACACTTTTGTAAAAGTTTTAAGAATTAAAGTTCTTAATCATCAGTTTTTTGCAGGTTCTCATCTTTCACAATTTCTTAAGTCTTGAAAGCCAGATGTTCCAAAAAGTTCTTCAAAAACATTATATAGTTTTCATATATATATATTTGTATCACTGTTCTTCCATCCTTCCAAGTCGCCGTCGCCGCCTACAGAAAGCCTTTAAATTCCATTTGTTTGCCTCCAACATAAAAGGTCCATTGTAGACAAACAACACCGTCATCTTGTCATTGTAAGTGAGATTCTGCAGGAGCTGAAAAACAGAAAAAAATAAAGTCAAAATAGCTAGAATAGATGTTCCCCATTACCTAACAAAGGTGAAGGAGGTCTATGTAAAGCCTTAGATCTCAAAAGGTCAATATAGCAGGATTATCGCCTTTCTGACAGATGATTGTTCCTAGAAACCCCCAAAGAGGCTCCATTCATCCTTCAGGCAATTTCCATGCTTCACTATTCTTACAACATGAAAATCTTCATATCTAATCTGTACTTTCTTGCTGCAAATGTGGTCATTACTTTTTTGCTGTATCCACAATGGGCAGACAATATTGGCTGTTTTTCCTTTTTTGCTAGGACAGGAGGTAGAGTTACTTGGGCACAATTACTATGTCTCTTTTCAGCTTTGTGCTCCTCTGAGCTAAGCAATTTCCATTAGAGGAAACTCAAAACTTTCAAAACTTCTAAGAAGTTGCACTGCTGTCTTCTGCAGTAACTCCAGCCACTGTACTACTTTTCTGGACTCTTACAATAGTTTACATCTTGTCAGGCACAAGCCCAGCAGACTGATATATGTCATGCAAGCTGTAGGGTTATCTGCTGTGCTTCAGGATGACTTTTAGCAATTGACTTGCAACTGATGCTCAACTTGGTATCCACAGTAACTTCTCTCTCCCCAGTTATTTAGGTACTTATGCCTTAGACCCGATGCTGTTGTTGATTTTGCCCACTTAAATACCAAATCCTACCCTTATCTGTGCTGAAATGCATCCTGTTTTCAAATAAAGTTATCTCATCCAAGATTGTTTCAAATTCTAATCTTGCTCTACAGCCAAGCAGCATTCACTTCTAACATGGTGATTATTTGCATGTTTAATAAATGTAATCTGTTTCAGCAAAGATTGATATAAAAATACCGATTTCCAAAGTCAAGACTCACTCCTAAGGAACACATTCCGTTCATCTACTCATTCTGACAGTGAATCACAACTATTCAGAATACAAGTTTCCCAATCAACTCTTCTGCATATTAATATACATCCCTTCCCCTCTGTAGCTTGCTTAAAAATATAGCTGGGAAAAGCGTCAACATAGTGAAAAAATCCACAATAACTATTTTTCCCATATCCACTGGATACATACACGGAACTTAGCTTAGTATGACAATTTGTCATACTTTCTAGTATGTGATTATATATACTTGCTTAGCGTAGGCTCAGGAAGTACAGGTAAGCCACTGGAACAGCAGAGCCTGGCTTTATCCTCAGCCTGCTCTGTACAACCTTTTAATTATCCTCTGCTGCAACCCACTCAAACTATCTCATCGGCTAAAACCTGTTACATGAAGTGCTATCTCAATAATGTTCTTCGTGGTAGGCCATTACAATTTCACCACGTTAACTGTGGTGATCACCTACTTGCAGATGATCAAGAAAGAAGAAATACCTTCAGCCATCTTTTCATAATGCTGTCTCTTGCTGCTCAATAGTGGTGCAATACATTTCTTATCTTCCTCTTACCATAATGTTAAGTGGGCCTTTTTTTTTTAAGCCTCTGCAATTTCCTACTTCTGCTTTCTCATTTTTACTCTCATCTTTCTGGTTAGTTGTGCACAAGATTTCCCCATTTCTCTATTCTTAGTAATTTGACAATGACCACAACTTTGAAAACAGACTCTAAACCCTTGACAGTAATTTTCTACAGTTCCTTATCCTTATACAAGGGAAGCATTATAGTCAGTGGAGCTGTCTCTATCCTTTCAACATCCAAACCACTCTCTTATTTCTCAAAGTAGGAGAGAGCACAGAAAAGCAGATCCAATAAAGAGAGAAACTGCAAGACAAAAGGGGATGGTTAACGTACAGAACAAGAAAGAAGTAATGTGGACAGGAAATGACCAAACTGTGTGGAGGTAAGTATACTGCAACATCAGAAGGAACAACAAGCATCACCTTCCTCCTACTTTCAGTCAGGTAAATGCTGCAGGTGGCTTTTCTCAGGTCCGACAACTACTTTTTATGGAAAAGAAGAGCACATGCCAGCCAGATTTTTAAAAATACAGTGAAGTACAGGATGCAGGAGAACTGACAGCTTAGTAGAAAGCATACAGCCCATTACTGAATGCTTGCCTCCTTTAGTAATCTTTACTGGTTCAATCTGCTTGGATCAAGTTGAACATAACATTAGCCGCCATTAAAGGTGCAGATGAACAGCTACCCTACTTACTAGTCCTCTCAAGCCACAGCATCACATCACTGCATCACCCTGTAAGGCATTTATCTTTTTTTTTTTTTTTTTTTTTTTTCTTTAACAGAAGAGCACAATTAAGCACTGGTCATTGTTGACTGAAAAGTCCTCTTCAAGCCATTCTCCATGGAGTGTAGTACCGACCTTTTCTGAGCTTGTAAGTCTCAGATTATTACCTGAATAGTTTTCCTCCATTAATATGGGACTCCTCTAGTTCTTCCGACGTCAGCAGTACTAGCCTATTCCAATAACATTATCTGACTTGTTTGGAAGTTGGTCTCTGCTACAATCCCAATTCCGTGTGAGCTAAAAGCACTACCTTTTACAGCCTTGTTACATGATACCCCTATCCACTAGTGGTTATCTTGTGATACTTCCAGAGAGGCCACAATTCCAGAACATGTTTATGATGAGATGAGCCTTGGTACAAGTTGTCTGAATTCCTGCCAGGACTGTCCTCAAGATGGACAAATTCTCTCACAGTTACCTTTTAACATTAAGTTCTTAGGTGAAACAGAGATTAAGTTATACAGTGTTTATAGGGATATTATCACACAAAACTCAACTCTCCTACACATTAAACTTTCAATTTCATTTTCCGCCACTCACCTTTGGTGTAATAAAGAAGTACTGAGATGTGCTTTCTTTACAAGCAGTTTTCACAACCATTTCAAAAACTCTTCTCTCATTCATTGGATCCATTCCCTAAAAGAAAAAAAAAAAAAAGGTCTGTTCTCTCCACTATGTCATAAGCATCTGTATAGTAAGAGGTTATATACTGCACTATTGATCCTCACCTGGTTTATTTCATCTACAACCCTGAAAGGACATCTGTTGAGTTCCTGTAGAGCCATCAGGTACAACATAGTGGAAACACTTTTCTCACCTCCACTCTGATGATATGGAGTCAATTCATGAAGTTCAGTGCTACTGTGGAATTTGACTCGAATGCGAATCCCATACTTGTCATACTCCTCCTATAAAAGGCAGTACCTGTTAAATTCAGTTTCTCTGTACTACAGCTTATTTGATAATGATATGCAAATTAAAGGAAATTTATGTCAAACGTTCTACAGGGGTCTATGAACTACTTCTGTTCGACTTGATAGCAATATATGAATTGTTTCATGTATTTTCTTTAACTGTGATCTATTCTTGTTAGATAGAGAATTCTGAATACCGCTCCATCCCCGTGACAATGATTTGTTAATTTCTGAATCCCTAGTAAGAAAGACTTCATGGATATTAAGAACTCTGATAAGAAAAAAAAATTGGCTAGAAAAAGGAGAAAGCAATGCCCCTACAAATTCTATTAATCAGAAAAAAATGCAATAGGGTACATGGTGCTATCAACTTGAACAGTGGGGTGATGATGTGTGTGTGTGTAGGTTAAGATCCCATCTGAACCTCTCCAAGTGCAAGCAGTCTAATTATATCCTTCACTTTTCCTCCACTAGCAGATTGAGACACAAAGCCCCTACAAAATCCGCCATGACAGTAATTTTCCTTTCATATTGTCAGGAAAACCACACATAAGCATTCTGACCCTGGCCTTTTCTTTAACAGAAAACTGACACTTGTCAGCAGTATGAGTCAATGATGTAAATGTGTGGGGGTAACAGATGTGGTTCAAAAGAAGGCCCATGCAAGGAAATACACTCATGATCTGAGGGGAAAAAAGCAATCTTTGGAGTACTTGCTAGTATTTCTGAAGTTCAGATAAGCTCAGTGCGGAAATGGGAATGCAATACCCAGTACAGAAAGCCCATACTGATTGCTTACCATTTGGTCTACATAAGACACAATCTTTATATGCACCTACCAAGTTAATGAGAGCTACAGGGAAGATTTAAAACTTTCAGGAATATGAGTTCCAAGAGGACTATCCATATTCACTGTAGAAGTGTAAATCTCACACTTGGAGGTCATCAACTCACATTCTTCTGATAACACAATTTTAATGCTTAGGGTAGAGGAAAGGAGTGGAGGTGATTCGTGATGGTTACAGAATACTTCTAGATTTAGAAAGGACAGCTGTGACAAAGAGACAATGAGGAGCCTATCCCATAGTAGCTGGCACATGCCAGTTTGGTTCAAATTGCCACATGCCACAGCCATCAAAAGGTGTATGAACCTGGGTGACCTGGCAGAACTAAGTCCCATTGTAGGCTGGCTTTTATGAAGCACAACAGTCTAAAAGCTACCATGAAGTAAGTAAGCCACACCATCTTAAAGTCTTAAAACTGCCTTAAGGAACTTCAAGTCTGTAGAAACAATTTTCAGCTTCCTGCTACCTTCAGGTCTTGCTTTGGGATGAGTAAGGTACATACCAGATAGCATCAGACATTGGACAGGATCTATCAAATCTTCTCAGATCAGCTAACCTGCTAAATCAGAAGAACAAGCCATCTTTTGGTGTTCCTGGTGTTTTACTACACCTGCAGGCAGACAAACATCCTCAGGACTGAAGAGTGTAAGGTCTTATACTTTGTGTAAGGTATTTCGTTTCATGTACTACAAACCTCTGGTGCTTCTAGTGTACCAGTATTATAGAAATATGGAACTATGAATTCTTGAGGCTGAGGCAAATACCTACACACTTTAGGAGAGAATGAAGGTGACCTGACGTAGTTATAAACTCATGTTTGCTAACTGCAAACTTTTTCCAATTTTGAAGACAGGTCACCTTTCTCACCCTTGATGTTTTCCCTGTCAGCTACGGGTTGGCACTTCCAAAGACAAAATGAAGACCTGCCTGGAGATGGCGTGCTATATGACCATGACAGACACACTGGAACAAAGCAGTGCTTAAAGCAACTGAAACTATTTGCAAGCTGATTTTGGTTACTGTTTCATTCTCCCCCACTATGAAAGAAATTTCTTCTTTGGCATTTAATGCAGCTTATCAGAAGAATAATTAGCTTCTTGGATTTGCAGATTGTAGTTTGATAGCCATGCCTGATAATCAGGACTCTAAGAAGGAAAATCATGGGGCATGCTTTCAGAAAAATGAATGTTGCTGCACTGTCCTTTCTGGAGGTGGTATTTTGCTAAGGGGAGCTAATAAGACATTTTCCTAATAGGTGAAGATTACAGCACCATAGCTTAGATGAACTTTCTCCATTTTAGTAGGATTTGGTACTTCATTGTCAGGATTAATTTCAACAGATCCACAGTCTGGCTTGCTGATGACCAAGACACTTAGCACAATGGAGTGAAAAAATATCCTTAAGTTCACAACTTAGTTTCACTCTTTCTTCTTCACAACTATAGGCTGGGCGGAGAATGGATTGAAAGCAGCCCCGAAGAGAAGGACTTGGGGGTATTGATTGATGAGAAGCTCAACATGAGCCGGCAGTGTGCGCTTGCAGCCCTGAAAGCCAACTGTGTCCTTGGCTTGCATCACAAGAGGTGTGACCAGCAGGTCGAGGGAGGTGATCCTGCCCCTCTACTCCGCTCTTGTGAGACCCCACCTGGAGTGCTGCATCCAGCTCTGGGGGCCCCAGAGCAGGAGAGACATGGAGCTGTTGGAGAGAGTCCAGAGGAGGGCCATGAAGCTGATCAGAGGGATGGAGCACCTCTCCTGTGAGGACAGGCTGAGAGAGTTGGGCTTGTTCAGCCTGGAAAAGAGAAGGTTCTGGGGACACCTAATTGCGGCTTTCCAGTACCTGAAGGGGCCTACAGGAAAGCTGGAGAGGGACTGTTTATCAGGGAGTGTAGTGACAGGACAAGGGGTAATGGGTTAAAACTGAAAGATATTTAGATTTAGATTAGATGTTAGAAAGAAATTCTTTACTGCTAGAGTGGTGACGCACTGGAACAGGTTGCCCAGAGAGGCTGTGGAGGTCCCCTCCTTGGAAGTGTTCAAGACCAGGTTGGATGATGCTTTGGGCAACCTGGTCTAGTGGAGGGTGTCCCTGCCCGCAGCAGGGGGGGGCTGGAATTAGATGATCTTTGAGGTCCCTTTCAACCCAAACCATTCCATGATTCTGTAATAGATAGAATCTGTAGAGCTTTTGCTACACTCTTTGGAAAGAGATGGGGCTGTGGGACATCAAGAACACAATGACTTCATGTCAGGATAAATAAAAAACAGGACATATGACCTCTAGGACCACTGTACTTTCAGATGCATTCACACAGACTGAAACTAGGCTCGGAGAAGTTTACAAGGTAGAGGCTTGTAGAAAAGAGGTGCCCTCCATCACAGTCACAATGGCATCAGAAGGGCCTTTGTTACCAGGTCACTGTGAATTCCAGATCATATAACTGACAGATATTGCAGGACCCACCAAGAATGATGCTCAAAACTCCATGCGGGGAATCAGGGAAGGTGAGGGTTATCATGGCTACCACTCTGAATTCTGGTTACCAAGTGTTAACAAGGAAAGTCAGAATGTCCACTGAGGTTTCTGCTAGGATGTCACGGAAGAACCTAGTGAAGTGTTTCACACAGTAAGTACTATCACCAAGGACACCACCAGATCTCAAGGTTCCTGCATAATTCTGCAGGAATCTGATATTTACAGGTCATGGCAAAAGTCTCCTGCAGAGAAGAAGGGTAAGGGATCCTAGCTGTAAAACAGATTATCCAACTCTCTGTATTATAGGTGCTGACCCCTTGAAGAAAAAGTTTTGGTCATTGGCACAGTACCATTAGCTAACCTCTTAAACTATTTGTGACATATTTGCAAGAGAAAAGCAAGACCTTCCAAAAAAGATATTCAGAAAGACATTCCAGAGTCCTTTTGCTTTTAAAACGCTTTACTGTTTTTTCCGTGTACTCTCTCCCGGCTTACTTTTAGATAAAATACAGTATTTGTGTAATACAGATCTGACTCTGTAGGTAACTATCAAAAGAACTGAAAAGTCCACGTTTTAATGTCCTACTGTTTCATAATACTAGTTTCAATATAAACAATTTTATGCAGTTCACAGAAAGAGCCTTGTCTGTCACTATTCTGACTCCAATAATAACTACCACTTCAAATATTTTAAGAAAAGCTGCTTGAGTAACTTAAAACAGAAAAAAAAATGTTTACATTTCAACTTTCACTATTGTGGAGCCTATACATTGCATATAAGGGTCTTAAAATCATCATTATAGAGATCAATTTAAAACAAAATACCCAGTTTCTCTTCAGCCCACTGCACTGAATATTTCTCCCCAAAGTAGTACTGATGCTTTAAACTCTTCATCAGAGGTAAACCTGCCTATAAATGTTACTGAGGACATAACAGGCTAGGCCAAATGACTGCTACTTCCAAAACAGACAAAATGCCAGCAGACTTGAGTAGAAACTTCATGTAGAACCAAATTAATACAACACTTAATAATAGTAGATTTAACCACTAAATGATAATAGCACAAATTAGTTAAAAATGTAGAATTAATTCATCAACTTAATAAATCAAGAGTTACAGCTAAAGTAAATACAATGCTTTGAATCGAGCTCTGTAAGTTGCAAGAAGTTTCCAAAAGTCAGTGAGTTGAAGCCCTATGCATTTGGACAAAGACTAATTTTCCTTTAAACAGACTGGTAAGTCAGTTCTAGCGCTAAGAAGTGTGTTCATCAGTAAAAGGTCTTTATTTTTTTTTAAAATAACATCTTTCCTACAATCTAAATGACTTGTTATTTTTTCTCTAGTGATATACAAGCAAAAGATGATGCATGAAAATATGAATGTTATTCTTCCATATGAAAAATAAATCATACCTCATTTTCCACATGAAGATCAACTTCACCAACACACTGCATAGAACTAAAGAACTTACTGAACTTCTCATTAATTTGCTCAATCAGCTTTTTCAAGGGGTTTAGCCACCTTTCTTTGACCTAGAAGTAGACATAACCATTTTTAATAACTGAATTTTCCTTTAGACAGCATTTAAATTAAAAAATATTGTAATTACAGAAGCTAACATCTCAATTTACACTCAAGACAACTTGGAATGTTACCCTTTATTCATGTATGTACATTCTATTCTAATAAAGACATACAGATAGAGAAGTGATAGTTTCAGCTATTACCTGTGAAATGTTTTGCTTATAGTTATCCAGTTCATTTTTCTTTTCCTCTAGATAGTCCGTCAACTGCTGTATTTCTTGTGTCTGCTTATTGTATTCTTCAACAACCTGCCAGAATAAAAAAACAAGCAGTCAACAAAATGTTTGCCAATGCTAACCTTGACTGTAAAACTATCACATTGCACTGATTTTGTTCAAACACAATTATATAGATTATTGCACTGCACACTGAACAAGACACCTTTCTAGCTTTAAAGCAAAAAAACTATAAAACATTGCTTATTTCAGGTTACTGCAATTTTTTTTATTTTTAAAGGCACAGAACACACTGTTCTTTTGGAAGAACCTACTTAAAATTCTAATAGATGCAGAATCTGGCATTTACAGCACATTGTTCCTGCTGTCTAGCTTATTATACCATGAGATCCAGCACAGAGTGGGAAGCAAGTACAATATGGGTGGAGGGGGAGGAAGGGAGGGCGGAGGGAAAGCAGTGAACATACCGAAGCATTCAGGCCTGTGAAACAGGAGGCCCTGTTTTTCTCTTCATTCAGAAAAGCATCAATTTCCTCCAACGTGGTCGGAAGAGACTGAAAAGCCTACAAAAGAAAGGATGCATGTGTTACACAGCAATGCTAATGAAGGACTCAAGTTTGCTAAAAAGAAATCAAATAAGCCAAAAAAATATTCTATTACTTTCAATCAGGATGTCACATAGTCAAAATTATCACAGCAAGATTCCCTCACAAACTATTGTGGACAGAGAAAGAAGGCTAGAAGTGCTAGTACATAACAAAGATACACAACTAATTGCTCCTTAGTTGCCTAACTTGTGCAGGTACAGATGCTCACAGACTTGCTATAAGCCAGGGGCTATGCTAGCTAAGCCTTGCAAATACTTCCAGAGGCTGGGAAGACCTCCAGGTAAGTAGGTGGGCCCAGATTTCAATTCTTTTGTGTTGCTCCGTTAGAGTAAGAAGCTATAAAAATATGGCCCCTAATTATGTCTATGAACACAAGACTATAGATTTTAATTGAACTTTCAGGTCAAATTTTTTCTTTTCTGTGCACAGAACAAAGTGAGAGATAGTTAGAGGATATCCCAGCATTACTTAAAAATGCTTTAAAAGGGTGACAATATATGAGTCAATGCTAACAGAAGTACACATGATCCTTTACTGGTGGCCTTCTAATATAAAATATATAGTATTCTTTGCTGGAGGAGTTAAATTTGAGATGACATAAACCATTGTAAGAGATATGTGGAGATTTGTTTCTGTACATACAGTTTGAAATTCTTTTGGAAGATACTGATCTGGACTCAGTTTGCAGACCTGCCGAGCTTTTTTCAGCAATTCCTTGCAGTTCTCTGTAAGAACTCGCTTCCTATCATCCAGTTCATGAAATTGTTGCTGTTAGAAAAGATATTAAAGATATTAAAATACTTTTTGCTTTAAATTTTATTATAAATATCCAGAGGTGACACTAGCACACTGGCAACAAACAACATCCAAATCAGAGAATGTAGGTGCAATCAGACTGCTTAAAGATTGAAAAATCTTTGTTTGAACACACAGAGAACTCATTATGCCTCTCTGCTCGAAGTCAACAGATGCCACGGTAAACTGATCAAAAGCATTTTCTTGTAATATAGCTAAATTTATTTTCTCTCAACTAGACAAATGTGCATGTAGATTCAATATATAGCTCAAAATAGATAATTTTACAGAAAATTCCCTCTAAGACAAAACACAACTACTGTGAGCCTTATCTTTTGTTAGCTCCCACTTAACTGTATTTATCTGCTTGGGAGAACATAGAGGACATGATGTATACTGAATGGTATTTTAGCCAAAATTTTACAGAGTAAACACCATAATTACACAATCAGAAGTACTTCCTTTGCTGTTTTGTATTCTACCCTCTGTAATACAGCTGGCAAAATATAAAACAAACAAAATTTTTAAACGAGTGCTGAAAAATAAGTGGAAAGCAGGTACAGTTTCTGGTTTTTAACAGTCATTTCAAGGCTAAACTCTTTGGAACTTACTACAGTAAGTGGCCAGCCCAGTCCTATGCCTTTTATGCAATATCACCACAGGCAATACACAAAATGTGACACCATCGTGAAACAATAAGCTAAAGATTATCTCACGTAAGCAGTATCCAGGCAAAAAGCTTGGAGAGCGTAAAGTATCTCTTCCTCTCTGTGCCCACAAATCTCACTCTCTCATGTCTATATGCATGGTCCCTATCACAGGCCTGCTGCTTCCAAATGCTGAGCTGGCAGTGCTTGGGAGTAACTGCTTGCTGCTGTTTCCCAGCTCAGGTGAGGACCCAACTGCCAACAGCTAGGAGCAGCCAACCACACAGAAGTGAAAAGGAGTACACACCAAGATACCGGAGATTTGAATCCTATTTTACTATACATTTACTTAGTGATTACACATGCAACTCATCTTTTTAATAGACAGTTACACCACTGGAATACACTGTTTTCACTTTTTTCAGAGGCACAAAATTCTAACTCAAAATCCACATGCACTAGACTTTGCTTCAGAACATTATTCTGAGAGTCTGGAAAGCTTACTTATGTTCCTACACTCTTCCCAATTTTTATTGTTGTGTACTTTAGTTAAATATGGGAGCCCTCCAGTGGCAAAAAAAAATTCAAAGTGTTCATTTCGAAATTATACAGTTAGATAAATGTTTATTCCACATCTTTAAAATACAGGACACAGACACTGACAGCAACTTGCATGACTTTCTGGCAATTTAATTAATCTTTATTTACTAAATACAACAGAAGAGGTAGTAACAGATATGATTATGAGTGATCATCAGCAGAGTTCTCTCACTCACTGAAGAATTAGGGCTGCTGTTCTCTACAGCATATATCAACTAAAAAATCCTGTTTTCCCTTCCCTCTACCAAGCACTAGGGAACAGAATTTGCATTAGAGGTAAGCAGTTGACAATATTCACACACACACTGTAAAGATATTTTTCTACACTGTGTCGATGTTTTCAGAAAGGTAAAAAAAACCCCAAAAACCAGCAGCCTTTTTCAGATTTTTTTTTCTTGTCCCCACCTCCGTTTCATAAAGTCTGTCATAGAGAAGGAGATAAATGTCACATGGGGGCAAGAAGGACTGGCATTACAGCTATACAGATAAAACAGCAATAAGTGGAGGATGGTCCTCCTTTTGGTTACAGCCAAGATCTTACATCATTCTGAATTAGCACAAATAAAACTGTACACCACAACACTTATGTTCCATTACATATCTGAATATGCCCTGTAATACATTCAATAAACAACTTCTAAAGAATATTTTAGAAGGTTCTAAATTAACACTGGACTGTATTTTGGACCCCAGAAATTTAAAAGCCAACTGGCTTTATCTGAGATGTGTTTGAGCTCATAACAAATGCAAAGGATCCAGTGAAAGGCAACACACATATTTTTTATATAATCAACATTGATTTTATACTTATGTGTTTGACCATTTCCAGGGCCAAAGTCACTTCTGAATCATATGAAGTGGGGAATCTCAGCTCTTAATTGTATATAAAGCTCCCACTTGAACCCTGCAGAGTTGCATGAAACAAGATTTCAAGTTGATCTCTAGGCACTGAAAATCTGAAATAGATTAAACATTGTATATGCCTGACACAAGCCTAAGGCAAGTAAACTTCTTCAGGGTGTGAAAAGAAAAATACATGTTTGGGCAAGGAAAACCTCAGCATTCAACAGGAAGACTGCGAAGCAATAGACATTTGATGTAGTTATGAACCAGGTTCTAGAATAAATGCACTGACAGTTCAACAACAAGGTAAGTCTCAATTTTCATTCAGCTTTCCCAGTTGATTGTCATGGCCATATGCTAAATAAAAGTTAGATAAATATAAATAAATAAAAATACACAAGTCTTCATTGCTTGTCCCTCCTATATATTGAAAAGAGTATGGCAATGCTAAGGTTCCCGTTGATTTCCTGAAGGCGCCTCAATAAAACCCATCTAGCTAAAAAGTAACTCTAAGCAGAAAGAATTACCATTGTGAACAGAGATGCTACCATGATAAATCACAGCCTAGACAGAGCTTTGTATTTGTTTTAGCCAACAGCATAAGAACCAATTTGGAAAGTGCTTTATCCGGGTACTTCAGGGAAGTTCCGTACTAGTGCGGGGCTCTGATTACAGCTTCCTGAAAGGCATCTACTGAACAGCAGAAACCAATTACATTCTGTATGCACAAGCAATTTGTATTCTACTGTGCTTATCAGTATTGCAACTGGTTTAGTGCAAAACAAGAAGCCAGCTAAGGAAAATATAGTTACCAATAGCCAATGTTTTCTCACGAATTTGTGTTTGAACACACACTTGGTGACAGCATTTAATTATTTGAAGTTTGGAAATTTATACATAGCAAAACAGAATCTGCATTTTCTTAAAACTTAGCTTGAAGAGCAAATGCTGTGATGTACATACTGAGTATTAATACCAATTATTTAAACAAATTTACACCAAATGAACCTGAAAATTAACAAGCTATCAAAGCAAGACAATTAGCAAGACTCTTTCAAATAACCATCATAAACACGCATGCAACTGTGCCAATTATCTAATAAGCAGATGGGGCTAACACTCCTCCCTAATGTTCAGTATGGGTCACAAACAGAGATTTGCTTCTTAGGCTGATTAAATAAATTAAGTACCAGAAGTTGTTAAAATAACACTAAGGTTCCCACTTGAACTGTGATGACAAAATACAGACCCCAGAAATCTGCTGTTGCTAACTTAACTTGTTCGAAAATATGTACTTTTTTGGCCTTTCCACCTAAGTGGTAAAAAAAACCCACTATAAAGCAACAAACATGCTGCTCTCTCCACAGCATCCCAGTGCCAAGATCTCACAAAAGGAACATACGTGATCTCTTGGATGTACTAAGTAAGGTTTGTGTTTGCTTCAAATCTTAATCAGATTATTTACTCAGGTATTAAAAAGACTCAAGATTTCTTGGGAGATAAACAGCATGAGTAAGTGCCAAATATTAATAAAGTTTCGCAGCTTCTTTGGCTGATACCCACCATTCTAATTTCAATGAATGCATCACAACCAGCACATGACCTACAAAAGTGTATGTATGACGAAACAGAGAATTAATGGTCCCATAATTGTAATTAGGCTCTAATTTAGTTCACTACACAGCTTTTGTACAACATACTTATTTCTGTTTCTGTTTGGCTTTCTCCTTTTTGCAGGTTTATTTATTGTATAAAACCATGCAGGAACTGTTTGCAAGGCTTCCTTGAAGTGTTGCGATGGCATCCTCAAGGGCAGCTTTGGAGCAAGACTACCTTAACATAGTACTGCTGTAGAAAAAAAATTATCACAGCCAAAGCCACTAAGAAGTTGGAGGGAAGGTATAGTACATTTCAAATAACACTTATTTCAAATAACACTTAAGTTGAGATGGAGCTAAGAAAAACTGACTTTTCCCCATGAAAGCGCATTTCAAGGCAGAAAATAAGAAACAAACCACAGAGTGTTCAACATATCTCATTCACATTCAATATAGGAAAGAGAACTTCTAAAAAAAGACGCTAAAGACTGAATTCAAAGGCTCAACATGCAGTACGCGGGGAAGCGTGGCCTTTCACGTACATGAAAACTTAAGATGCACTTAAATACTCAAAAGAGTTTTCCTCCAGAGCAGTTAAACTTCTCAAAATTCTAATCACTGGGATTACTGATTTGAGGGTTTGGGTTTTTTTCTGTTTTAATGTTGCTAGAACCAACCATCCAAGAGATAAGTTCTCATGTGATTTCCTCTACTTACATGGTTGAATGTAACCCAGTAACGACAACTAATAGGACCTCAGCTGACTCAAACACCTCTCCACTAGGGAAGGAGGCAATTTCTGTTCAGCCAAGAATAATCAGAACATTTACCTTACAAGTCTTGTCTACTGATCTGACCAGACATCAACCTATGACCAACCCAAGCTACTCTCTAAATGATGCACACAACAGGAATAATAAGAACTAAAAACGTTTAAATAAATTTCCCAGTGATGATACACACTACCTCACATGAGGTTCCAGCTCTGTAATACATTCTTACTCCTTACTGTGCTCCAGCAATGAAGTGATGTACATTAGGTTTGGATAAAGTCTGAGTAACAGCTACATCATATGAGAGATCTGATGCAACAGTGATTTTCCAAGTAACATGCTGGTCTCGTCTCTATCTTCAAGTTATTTTTTGTTCCTCTTCCTAATTTTCCTGCAAATGATACCTATAACCTCAAGTGGATTTCTAATTATATTGCAAGGTCATTCTTTTTGTAAGTGCATATCCATTCAAAATAACTACCACTTTCCTTTTTAAACTGCTTTCCATTTAGCAGCAATTATATTTTTTTCATCAAATTGAATTAGCAACAGGTTAAGCTGACTCTTGCAAGATAAAGAGAAAACGTACCATCCTGTATTTTGACAGGTACACTGAAAGATTGTACTACTACTACGCAAATACAAAAATTGACCTTTATGCACCAATCCATGAGAGATCACAGTATGTTCTGTTCTTAGAAAAGAGTACTTGTCTGTACTGTCCCCAGAGACTCTTTTTACCTGAACACAGCACAGATGCCTAATATGATGAATAGAAGGACCAGTTATAATCCTTTCTGTCCTCCAAAAAAAGACATTTAATTACATGAGAAAATAAGCTATGAAAGAAAGGTAAAAACAGCTCTACTCTGATACAGTGCTTTCTGGTTCATCTTGATCTTGCATCTCCCACCTGAGTTGGAGCTACTTGTCTATGACAGACTCAGAAAAAAGATAATACTTCCAAATAACAGCGAGCCTTTTTACACACACTATGCATTACAATAAAAAGATCCAGGACATGATGACTGTTCAGGACATTTTTGCAGAAATTTAGCTGTCTTAACTGAGGAAGGCAAAGCTCTTATTCAGCTTTAAATGAAGAGGCTGAAGTCAAACTACAGAAATAAAGGCTAAATATTTAGCAATACTAATACCCATTTCTAAACAAAGACACAGAAGCATCCTTTTCTATACCATGAAGACTTTCACAGAAAATGTTTTCATAGTAGATATCCCAGTATTTATAGAAATGGTTACCTCTGCAGCTCTTAGCTGTACACTTGCAGCTTTATACTCAGATTCTAGTCTGCTCTTCTCAGCAGCCACTGTAGCACTCTGAAGAACCAAATCTGCTTTGAGGATGTTCAGTGATATGCAATTCTACATAGGAAAACAGAAAATGTCACTTTTTTCCACAAGAGACTCAAACCTGATACAATCACTACCAGGCTTTAGAAACTATCGATTTTTTAGTCATAGCATACAATCTCACTCTGTGTTCAGCTTTTCCACACTGCTGTCTGTCAAATTCAATGAAAAAGAAAGGCAACTTATTGGTGACCCAAGCTTTTCAAGATGTATAGTCCCCATGTACTTTTAATCTGTAAGCATATACATATCATTTGTAACCAAAGCATTTTAGACCAAAAAACCACATTCTCTTTCCATGTGCCATATACTCACCTGTGAAATGCGAGAAAAGACAAAGCTATATCAATTCTTTCTCAGACAAAATCCAACAAGTGCATTTTGGTGGACTTTATATGTCACACAGAAATGGAAAAAGGTCAAAAAATGAACACATAAGATATATGCTTCTTTCACTGATGATGCAAGATTGACTGACTAGATGTACAGTGACTCTAGTGCCTTGTGTTTTAACTGGAACAGCATATGACAACAGAAGAAGGCTCTATTTTCGAACTTTTATAACAGGCATTATTGATGCCCAGAACCTGGTTTGACAACTCTGACATTAAAATGGTTGCTTTTTAAAGTAAGTCATCCTCAGGAATGGTCTAGAAGCTTCAAAATCAGCAATATAGTCTTGATGTGAAGGGCAGCTTCAAATCTCAAATTACAGGGCATTGAGCACATTGGTTTTACTTTTTTTTTTTTAAATAATCGGCATATAAATACAAAGGAATGCTCTCTCTTAATGAAAGGGAGGACAAGGTTCCAACTGTAGACCTAGAGGACATAAAGGATGAAGTTTTGAGAGTGTTAGCTTCTGACCACAATAGTGAGCCAAGGTCTCAGATCTTTACTATTTGTGATTTCAACACAAAGTTTCTGCAGTGTGAACTTGGACATAGCAAAAAGTTTATTTGTTTCCAATCCACTTAAACAGTTTAAAACTAATTATCCAGGAAATTAAAAAGTCATAATGAAAGGAGATGAAACAGGGAAGAAGTTAAGATTATTCAAAGACAACAGCACAAAGAGAACTACATGCAAAAAGCAGTGTCAGAATCTGAAACCGTGGAACAAAGCTGTTTCTATCTACTGGTTGTAAAGTATTGATGTGTATCAGGTATGTGCCAGGTATGCTCTGCCTTGTGTATTTGTGTAAACATACACGCAGTCTGTCATTTTCATTCACTGTTCAACAGCAGCCCCCTTGTGGCATTATTAGGGCTTACAGGCTAAGCTACAAGCAACAATTAAGTCCAAATTGTTTTCTTCTTTTTTGAGTTAAAGAAAACCTCATGACATTGGAGCCTCTAGACTTGAATACTTTTCCCATCCTAGCCCTCTTCCACAATCACAGATCCTTACAGATTCAGGTCAAATTTTCACATGACTACTCTTTTTTTCAATAAAAGGAAAAAAAGAAAGGAGATTATGAACTAGGGTGGAAGAAATAGTTCACAGAATTATGCAGTATTCTGAAAATGCACAGGCTGAAATGGTTACACAGTGCATTCATTTATTTGCCGAATCAGACCACAGATTCTAAGACTTCAGTTACTGAGAGTCTAAATCAATGCAAGCAAATGATCTACAAATGAAATCAACGACAGATGAACAAGTTCAAAGTTCTTAAAAGCTTCAAAAGATCTTTATCTTGAAGCAAGTTAGCTCATAAACATTTACCGTGACATCCAAATGTTGCATATCTCCTAATTCAGTTACAAGAATTGGACTTTTCATATAATAGTGGAACACATACCAAGTTAAAAATACATACCTTTATGAGATGCATTAATTCAGTAACAAGTTTTGCTTTTTCAGTATTTATTTCTTTGATCTTTACATTTGCCAGTTGAGACTCCTTCTCTAGGTTGATAGCATCTTGTTCCAGCTGTCTTAAACTATGGGAGGAATCAATATTTGATTAATCCTGATTAAAAATAAATTGTACAAAAATACAAAAATTCTTAATTTTGGTGATGAAACAACACTTAGCAAGAATAGGAATTTGCATACCTAAACATTCCAAACACATTAGAGGCATTCCCAATCTATGCACTTTAAACCTAAGGAATTCAAAAGACAAAAAAATTATAATTAAAGAAATTCTGATTTTTGGCTACTAAGGCCATCACTCAGCAACCATGCTCCATTACTTCTGTAAATTTCAGATTTAAAAAAAAAAAAAAATCAGTGTAAGGATGACATTTTTCTTCTGCTGCTAGTTCCTTGCAACAATACAACATAGGAGAGTTCAGGAGGTTTGCTTAATTCCTGTTATATATACCAGTAAAAGAATTGTGTCCTCAACTTACTGCAGAAAACCAGAATTTTCACTCATTTTAAATCTCAAAAACATATAATTATGAAGAACTTCATATGCAATAATCATGATGTTTAGTAAGCTGCAAAGGATTTGGAGAGCTTCAAACAGAACAAGAGGGTGATCCAGGAAACTACAAACCAATCATTCTTACTTTGATCCCTGGGAAAATTGTGGAGCAAGTCCCCTCAGAAAACAATTCCAGGGGCATAAGGGAGAAGGTGATCAGGAAGAATCAGCAAGCATTTACCAAGGGTATGTCACACCTGATGAATGCAATTGTGAAACAACTGGATGACAGCAGATCAAGTGGTTGCCATTTACCTCAATTTTAGCAACGCTTTCTGATAAAAGCTCACCTGTACAGCCAAAAAGGAGAGACAATAGCAGGTGGGGGAAGCCCAAATAATACCCTACCCTGACTACCCTGAAGACAATTGCAGAAGCCATCAACCCATGAAATGCCCATCTCCACAAGCCCAGAGCAGCACAGGGGCACTCTAGCAGGCAGGAACTCAAATAAAGAACTCAGAGGAAGGGACACCCCATCCCAGGACAGCCTCAGCGCTAGTGTCCAGGTGTGAAACCCAACAAAGTAAGTCAACACGGCAGCACCCTCTGGACTGAGGGGGGTTGTTTCCTGGGGGTATGGAAGACATTACAGGATGCAGCAGAAAAGCATTCTGTGACTCTGCAGGACTTACTGTTCAGGGGAGAAACCAAATGCGGGGAAAGGGAGGGATCTAGATGACTTGGAAAAGATAAGTGTGGGAAAATGGAGGGATATGGGGATAAAAAGGACAGTTACATCTAAATAGCTGGCTGGTCAACACACTTGTATGGGAATTGCACCTAAGAGGTTAAAAACACAGGTGTCCGCTTATCTCTTACACAAACATTGTGGATGGAGATCCACAAGGCTGGTATGAGAAGCAGCTGAAGGAGGGAGTCTTAGAGCAGCAAGATGGCCGTGTTTTGGCTAGAGAAGGCAGAACAAACAGATAAGACAGTTTCTACACAGAATTTTGAAGGCCACCGTGCCCGGAGTGAGACATTTTGCTTTATTATCCACAAAATGAATATTCAAGTTGACACCCCTAAGTATGCTAATGAGCTAAAAGAAGTACATGCTAAATATATATGACCATAGTACTTGACTCTCCACCCAAATCCAGTTAAACATGCCCCTGGGAAGGAACAGCTAAAATTGGGGTATAAAGCACATTGAGGAAGTTACCCCTGATGGGGGGGGAGGGAAGAAATTGAAGACCCCAAACAGGCAGTTGGCGGACTGTGCTCCTTCTCCTTCCCCCAAGACGGGGACAACTTCTTGGTAGGCAATTGCGATTTCACCCTTTTGGTGAGAATACCCAGGATAGTATTTTGCTAGCATTATAATTATAATCACGGTCCTATATTAGTGCTTTTGCCGAGAGTGCATTTATCAATGGCAATTCCAAACTCTTTAAATCTGTCGCTTTAATAAATTTTCTACTGGTTTCAACTTTGCAAAACTAAGCCAGTGCAAGTCCTCTGGGGGCTCTGACAGGCAAACGCTGACTCTGGTATGTGGCTACATATATAATCCTTTAGCCACGAACTGTTGACCACGTCTGGGACTAAGACTGGACCTAGCCGCACCCAGGCTCCTCTCTGAGAAGGAGTTTAGAAAGCAGGAGGGTCCTTTCTGAACCTCATGACTCAATGGGAGGGCTTCCCTCAGCCACACATCAGACTTTACCTTTTACGTCACAGCTTGTCCAGCCATACCCAATTGGTACAGTGCCTTCTTATATTCAATTCCATTTTTCACTCTTTTCCTGGGTGAGGGGCTCTCTATTCAGCATTCATGTCTGTCTATGGGAGTCTAAGTGGAAGCAACTACAGTCCGATGACAAATCTGAGGAAAGTGCCTTCTTGTTTGTGGTGCCAGCAAATGGAGACACCAGCGTGAGCAGACTTAATTGACCACTTAAGTGGTCAGAAGCCCATTTGTCCATGATGCCAACACCTGGTACAAGTGCAGGTGTGCAAGTGAGTGTTTGATCCCCAGAACAGTCCAAGCCAGACTAGCTGTCAAATAGATGAAGTGGCCTGGGAACCAAGGGGGTATGTGTGTCACTGAGGGTGAGACCATAGGAAGAGATGGCTATTGGAGGGACCAGGGGAGTCCAGACTGACTGCCAGAGACCATGAGGTCTGCTGTCTCTAGGGGTGAGACCTGCTAGCATCTGTACCTATTTAAGGGTAGAGACAACACAGGTACTGGCTATTGGGAGGTACCAGGGGGGGAGTCACGGCTACCTCTGTGCATTTGTATGCCTGTGTATCTCTGAGGGTAAGACCACAGAGTTGGCTACTGGGAAACCTGGGAGTCCCAGCCAGTTCTGCATGTGTGTGCACACAGGTGAGTGAGGCACTCTGTACAAGCAACAGCAGCAGGGCTGCAGCCTCGGGAGTTTGCATGTCCAGGTACCAGCAACTGGGAGACTGAGGTCCAGGGGCAGCTACTGTGCTGACTCAAGAGTGTCTGGACTCAGCTGCTGATGGATCCACATTGCCCATATGTATGCACAGGAGTCTCACTAGCGGAGGCCCATCCTGCTCAGACAGAGTAGGAACATGATGAGGCCACTGGTGCTGGGTTTGCCCAACTGCTGTGTGTGTCCATCCATGCTGTGTGGCTGGCCCGGTGTAAATACGTACATACATGTTGTTTAGATGTGCTCTGTGTGAATGTGTCTACTGGGAAGACAGGCTCAGCCTCACTACTGGTTGCACCTGGGAGCATTAAGCTGCATCAGCCTCACCTTCCTCTCAGGCTGCTGGATCCAGACCCATTCCCATAACTTTTTCAATGCTGTCTCCCACAATATTGTTACATTCAAGTTGGAAGACTACAGTCTGGATGGATGGAAGACTAGATAGGTTAAAAAAAAACCAAAACAAACAGTGGTTGGATGGTCAGGCGCAAAGGGTCATCATTATTCTGTTGTATTCTCCCTGGAGGCCAGTAACAAGTAGGGTACATAGGAGGAAGTCCTGGGACCTGTACTGTTTAACTTCCCTGCCAGTGACAGGGAGCAGCAGGCAGAGGGCACTCGAGTGTCATCTGAAACCTCGGCTAAACTGGAGGGAGCAACAGGCCTGCAGTTCAGAGGGGTCTGCTGAGGCTGGAGGAAGGGGTCAACAGAAGGCTCGTGGGATTCAGCCAAGGCAAATGCTGAGTCCTGCCCCTGGGAAGAAAGCGGGACTGGCAGTGATACAGGCTTGGGACAGACTGGCTGTGGAGAAGCTCTGCAGGGAAGGACTTTAGGTATTGGTAGACAATAAGCAAGTGAGCTTAAGCCAGCAGCGTGCTTTGGCAGCGACAAGGGCCCCCGACATCATTGGCTGTATGACTGGAAGCATAGGCAGGAGGAGAGTGATTTTTCCTCTCTGTTCAGCACTACACCCAGTTTTGCCCCCTGCTCCAAACATCAACAAACTGGAACAAACTCGGAAAACAACCAATATGGTCAGGGGCTACAGCACAAGCCCTGCAAGGACACGGTAAGGGTGCTCAGCTTGTTCACCCTGGACAAGAGACAGCTTTGGGGCACCTAATAGCAACCCCCCACACACACTATCCCTCCCTCAAGGAAGCCACTGACAGCATGGAACTAGGCTCTTATCAAGAGGTGCATAGTAAAATGATGACAGACAGTGGACATAAGTTGAAACAAGAAAGACCCAAGCTGGCTGTCAGTAGAAACTTTTTCCCCCATAAGGACAGTCAAACAGTGGAACAGGATGTCCCAACAGGTTGTGCCATCTGCATGGAGACTTTTCAAGACGCAGTGGCATACAGGCGTGAAACCCTGGTCTGATTTCAGTGTTGACCTTACTTTGAGAACATGGCTGTACTCCAGACTACATGAAATCCCTTCCAACCTAAGTGACTCTGTCATCGTATATTACTTTCAAAACTATATCCAGCTTTATACCACTATCCCTGCAGCCCTATTGTTCTTTTCCCTTTTTTTTTTCTCCTCTCAAGTTCTCTCTTCAGTTTAATGCACCATAAGTAACGCAAGAGCTGTGCACGCAAGCACCAGTACCAGCTTTCAGAAAATGAAAAGTAGTGTGACATGAGAACATATAGGAGTATTTGAGAATGCAAGGTCTGCTGGGACTGTGTTATGGGAGTGAAGGGAGTGAAGCCTGGGGCAATCTTGTCCACATTGCCTTCTGGGAATGTGAGCTTAAGTGAAATACCTCTTGAACCATGCCCAGGTTCTCCCTTATGACAAAGCAGTAACAGACAACCTAATTGCAGAGGCCCACGAAACCAGAAAATACATTAAGACAAATACTGGGGACAATCAAGGTCCAACTTGATCCTGACACACTTAGTACCATTTATGTACATTATGGTATTATCTAGGTATGTCCTACCAAGACAGAAGACTATGGTAATATTTGAGTAAATGAGTGCAATGACCTTCACTGGAATCCTATTATTTTACTACAGGAAACCATTTGGAAAATTGTTACATGGTTTCTCAAATACAATATTAATTTGCATATCTAAATACCTTGTCTTGATTACCACCTGTATCTGATGCTCAACCATTGGTTACTTTGTAAGGGTAAAAGCACACTGGAGTAAGAGGAAGCCAAAACACCTTTGTTATTAAAATTGTTCATGTTTCATAGATAATACAGTTTGTTTCTTACCTATCATACTTCACACCAATTTTTGATTCCAACTGTCTCCTCCTGTTTCCTCTCTCTAAAAGCTCCTTCTTCTGTTGCCTGAGCTCATTGTCTCTGCGTTCCAGATGCTTCTGTCTCTCAAGCAATGTAGTCAAACGCATATCCAATGACTTTAACATGTTATTGATGTCCTGCAGTAAAAGAACACACACCACTAGCATTCTTACTACAAACATACCATACTAACACATACGAGTAAGCTATGCTTATTGCATCATAAAATGGGTAGTAGTTCACATCATACACAGCACAGAAATAAATTCCTACCTGTTGCTGGTTTTCCAACTGTCGTCTTTCATCTGTATCCACCGAACTAGTGAGAAACTGTGCTGCCCTCAGGGATATGTTAGTAGAGAGGGTTAGGTTTGTGTAAGCAGATACTTTAACAATGTATTTTTCTTCTGCTGTGTATATTTGCTTCAGTTTGGTTTCTTGTATGACCTAAAAAACACACAAAAATATTAATCCAACAAAAGCATTACTTAAGGCAATGCTTTTCAGAACAAACAATAAACTAGCTAAAACCACAGTAAAGAACTTCAGGTTATGCAACACACTGATTTGTTAACAAGCCTTTGCAAAAAGATGATCCTAAGTTTAATGCATCATGATACTTGTAATTCAGACTGGTCAGCAAAGAACTGTTAAGATACTGTCAAAAAGAGTATGTTACCATAACCAACTAAACAGGTTCTGATTATTCTGATACTACAGATAAACACTGGAAAAACCTGCTAATATTTGTACTGCATCATGAACAAGGATTGTACTTGCTGTAGATGCATAACATGCAAATATAGCCTGTGTACCAAAGAATCAAAGGTACTTAAGAAATTAATAGGTGAAACCATAAGGTGAGCTATTATGCATGAACTTCAGTGAAGCAAATGTATCTGTAGAAAAAAGAGGTATAAAATAACTAGAGTTACTATTTTTCTATTACTCATGTCAAAAAGGATATTATAAGTAACTAAAGATTTATCATAATACAAGGTAGTATAGTACTTCAAAAGGATATGAAGTGCCCAGTTAAACCAGGAACAGCAAAAAGCTTCCATAGCACAATGTAAATTTAGCTAAAGATTTTTTCAGATTATATACAGAGCACCAGCAATATTCTGTTGATTTGGTTCCTGGACACCGAAAACCATGTTTACTTTGCTTTACAGCTAAGACTGTGTTTGACATTTCCATCCTAGTCCTTTTTCCACATGCTCAGCTCTATGAAACAAGTCTCCTTTTAAACTAGGGATTTCTCTGGCGTGTGTGGAACAAAACGTTGCAAATAATGCATTTCCCAATCAAAAATAATAAAAACAAAAGAAAAAGCTTTACATGATTGAACTGAGAAAGTGCCATGTGCACCACATTCAGAACAGTGTCTCATCTTTGCCCCTAGACCAGCGATTTTTCAATTGCTGCCCAGAGAGCTCTAGAAAGCAGGGAGTATCTAAGAAGTAATTCTGACTGGTTTACAAAATATAACTCAGAGACCTATTACATAGGTAATCTGCTTCATCAGGTGATAAACACAAAGTGGTGGAAGAACTGCAGCTTAAAGATGAAAATGCTTAGGAAAAAAATTAACAGCTTTTCACATAGGACTCCCTCCGTTTCTACTTTCCTCCTGCTTATTCTTAGAGCCTCAAAAACATAGAAGATATGAAGGAGCAACAGCTATCCCAATAAAACAGGAATTATTCTCTATTCACAGAGCCTGAGTTTCTCAAAAAGGCAACTTTTACTGTTCTCAGAGAGCCCAACGTAGTGTTCTAAATTCAAAGAAGAGTTCACTCTGTACAAGACAGACAACAGATGTCCAGTATAGACAAAGAAGTGAATATGGATTTAAGTTGAAAACTGTCATGTGTGTTACTAATTATAATCCAGCAATGATGAGCTTGCAAGAAGCCATGAAAGACTCAGGTAGGGAGATTATTCCTTTGGGGATCTCTTAGCCTATTTGAAAGAATCCACAAGGTTTATATACTGTTTATCACATCAATTGTGACTGAAGCTAAATGACTGTATTTGCCAGAAACTGAACATCTTAACATATTAAAAAAAAAAAAAAAAGCAGCTTCTAATTGTTGCTTTAAACACAAAAAAACAGGTCAGCATTGTCATGTACTATTAACTGTTTGATTAAAATTTTGCCCAGAATATCTCAGTCGCTTAAAGAAGTTATTACAATAGAACAACTTCATATAACTGACTTGTAACAGTATGCAGGTGAAAGATATATTCAATTTTCTGTGAAGTACTGCATTACATTGACTGGATTTGTTAAAATGTCTTGCAATATGTTTGTGTATAATGACCTGTTCTCACTTCTAAAGGCCATACAAAAGGCTAAAGCAGTTTTTTGCTCTCTCCACATTAACTTGCTAAAGAATGTCCAAAATAAAACTCTAGACCACAGGTGTGTTTGTGCTGTTTAGGACATCTCACCCTTTCAATCATGTTTCTGGTCTTCTCTGTTCCCACAGGGACATCATGAACACGGTAGTGGGAGCAAAGATAACTCATCACAGGATGAGGAGCATCAAATAACTCTCGTAAATATGAGAAAAATCCGTATCGGCTGAAGAGAAAAAAAAAACAACACCACCACATGTATCAGAAATAAAATTTCGCAGGTAAGCAAGCTGAAGGTACTGAAGCATCAGAAAAGTGCCTCTAACCCAGAAATGAATTGGTGAAAATCTCATTTGCATAGAAAATTCTAATATACAGCAACAACACCAAAGCACTATATCTAAAACCATTCCCCACTGATATAATCTGATACATACTGTAATTCTTCAATAGGTCTCGAAGGTAAGCTTTCAGCACATGATTCAGCAGGTGCACATACAGCATTCACTTTTAGTTTCTGATGATCACGCATCTAAATATAGATTACATTAGGTTATTTGGTTAAAAAAAAGCAGAAAAATTCACTACACAAACCTCAAGTATTTATACTCGATTCACAGAATCTGAATTATTCTAAACTGACAACCTCAGGAAGAACCCACAAAAATCCACTCTAGCTCAGGCATGACTGAGTTCTCTAAAAGCGAAGCTCAGTTAACGTCTCATGGTGAAAAGACCATGCATTAGAGAAAACAAAAGCAGTCAAAGAAATCCAGAACCAGGCACTCAGTCTAAATAGCCAAGCTCAATGTAATAAGAAAGTCCCCTCTTTTGGGTTGTATAGCCGTTTTGCACAGATAATGGCAGACCACTAGCCATTACAGAGGCTCTGAAAAGCCTCATCCTAACAGAGCAGAAAAGATTGAGGACACAAATGAAAGATCAGTTTAGCTGGTTACAGCAGCCTTGCAGTGGGTTCCACAACCATGGAGTCAAGACAAGTCCCCCACGACCTCAGATATCACCACTGCTGTTCACATATATAAAAACAACTAGCTTCTGTGAAGGGCAGTCAGGTCTTCAAAAATTGCAGGACAGTTTGTCATTAATAGTACTATTCTGTGGACAGTAGTTGGGAAGCATTATGACAATTAATGTCATGTCTTGGGGCTTTTTTCTCCTGCATCATCTGTCTGGCTCTCACAGGGAACAATCTCCTTATTGCTCCAGGGAACAGCAGTATTAAGAAAATATAAGCCTGATTTTCCGCTTGGACCATTGTCTTCTCACAAAAGACACCCTCTTTAGTCAGGAGGCACTGGAAAAGCTTGGTACTAAATTTGTAGTTTCCTGCTCTTGCCATTTACTTGTACATAGTATTTTCTCCTCAGTGATTACTACCTTGTCAAGGAAGACAAAAGTTACTTTCAAAAAAGAAATATTTTCTTAACATGTCTGCATCCCTCCAGTTGGTCTAGGCTTTAAAAAAAAACAAAACACTGCCAACAAACCTTATTCCAGAAGAAAATCTTTGAATACCTTGTATGATCTTGCTGATCAAAACCTAATAAACACAGGCTTACTTGGTGGATTCCAAACTTTACATCAGTATTTTAAAATTGGTGCCTACTTGCCTCGACAAGAAACATTTCCATATCTTCTTGACTTTCAAAAACAAAAGCCCGCATGTCATTGGCTGAAATGTGATTTTCAACATATTTAGAATGTCTGTTGTCTTTCATATTGATCTGATAAAGACAGGTATTGAGAAAGTGATTTAATACAATTGGACTTAACACTCCTCACAAAACATTTTAAACAGTCAGATGATATCCAAGCCTACGTTTCATGAAAACAAAGATAATGTTTAAATGTCTTTAAAGACGTATTCCCTGTCTTTCTGCAACCAGTTCTCTTGGAGGAAACCTACAGTAACTCACATTTCATTGTCTTTAGCTTTTAGCCATCCATATCCTATCTCAGCATTCCTGGACCTATCACTGTCTCCATCATACCACCTCCCTCTCTTCTGCTCCACCTTAACCTTATAATTGCAACCACCACCATCTCAGGTCTAGCGGCCCTGTTCCGGTACTACTAAAGGTATCTCACTGTTTAGAAACAGTAAAACCAAGGAATCAAAATCAGAAGATGCCACACTCCACAAATTATTGATATGCAGTTCTCTGATGTGGACACAGTCAACATCACTAAATGCAAATATAGAATTGTGAAGCCCTAGAAAGAATTACCTTTGAACACTTAAAAAAATATTTAAATCCACATTTAAGATGGATGAAACTTTTCCTATCTAAATGAAATGTTAATGTTAGAATTCTTCAGTGACTCTCACTAGTAATTAGACATTATGTCACTATACGTGATATACAAAGGCAAAATTACACAATGTAATAACCTCAAGTTAGCCAAAGGCCAGCTACACTTACTACCAATTTGAAAGCTAGAATTTATAAGTACATGAGGCTAACTTATATCAAAGAAAACAAATTCAGATATTAGTGGATGTTACAGAGGTTAATGAGGCCTTAAAGTAAAAGCAAAGGCATTCTATCAAGACATTTTGATAATGTAAAATTAACTTGATGTGGTGCTCCAGAAAGAATTGGAAGTTCTGGTAGTAACAGAAAATACTTGGTACTTTACACGAAACAACAGTAATTTTGAACAGCTCTAGCACATGCACAAAGCATAAGAATTGCTATATAAATATTCAACATTCAATTAATTTAAATTGTAGCAATACAATATTAAAATAAACTCGCAGCTCTGAAGAGGAGGAATGCAAGGGAGTTAATCCTCTTCACATGACATGGAGTGCATATTGCAGGAGGCTGGAACAATGGTGGTGGCATGCACTAGAAAACCAATAGTCTATCTGCAAATTTAGCCCTGTTATTCCTAGCTAGTACAGCATCTGTCGAACCAAAACACAAAACGAAACTAGGTATAGATTAGATATTTTTGTGTCTGTAGCTGGCTGTGTGAAGCAAACCACGAAAACACCTGGAGATGACAGTGACATATCAGAACTGTTGCTGAGCAGGTTGTGCTATAAGGTGAGGTATTCAATTTTAAATTACTACTGGGTTTTTTAGCAGCAAGTAAGAAATACTTAATAAAGGTCTGCTCCTTGAGGGGGGAAGGGGAAGGAACCACCACATCATACTCAATGCTGAGTATTACTACATTGCCTACGGAATTAAAGTTACAAATAGTTCACCATGCTAATGTATCCCGCACTAATTGGCAGCTCTTTCAAAATGTGTCTTGAAAGTCTTAAAGTCATTCTCGAAGTCTTGCAAGGCATAAATAAACTAAACATTAACTGGCTAAGAGTGATTAGCAAAATTTTCTTACTTCAAGCATAATGGGTTCACAAACTTTTTTTTTAAACTTGTCTTTGTTCTTTCGTAGCCACATAAGAGCAGTGTGTGTGTCTCGAAATCTCCCTTTAAGATTCTCTTCCTTCATATTCATTATATTATTAAGCTGTCCAAGGCGATCAATTAATCCTGTAATTTAAGGCAGTTTCTTAAACAAAGTCCAGAGCAAGTACACATTGTAAGCCGCACTTTTCAATATTTATTGACTATGCTACTCCAGCAATAAGGCTGTTAGGAGATTATAAGACTTGAGATTTTCTTTTCTCACAATCAAGATCCTGCTTAGTCTAAAGAAATCCTAAGAACTATTAAAGCTTAAAATCTAAAATAAAATTAAGACTTACCCAAAGCATAACCAAATGTGGTAGCACAGTAAAAATACAGGAATTTAGTCATAAAAATATCTCTCTTCAAAACTTGTTCTACCTTTGTATTTAAAACCAAAAACACCTCAAGAGGAAAGACACAGTGGGACCAGCAACATGAAATCTCTGTTATTTCATGCTTGCAGAAAACAAAATGTGTGACAACAGACTGTGTGCGAAAGCGTTTGCTATTCAGGAGAAACAGAGATGGAATACTATCTGTGCTTCTCAAGGTAAAATATATAGTGTCTCCTTCCCTAGTTCACTTGGTCTCTCTGTACCTCAGTTTCTCCTTGGATTCCATGATAAGTGCTGGATAGCTATGTGCAAATGTACTACACTCACCAAGTAATATATACAACACCCCCTACTGGACAGGCTATAATTTTTGAATTTTGTTTCTTAGAAAGAACTAATTGTAAATTCTAGGCTAGTAAACAGGAATTTACAATAATTAAAGTTAGCTCAAGTTCATCCAAAAAGGACAAAAGCACCATCAGTAGCTAATATACTGCCAAAGAGATAGTTTTAAACATTGCATCTTCAAAACACTTCACTGCTTCTTCACTGCTTTTGCTTCAGGTTTGGTTTTTTGTATCCTGCTAACAGTACAGACCTTCATTTAATAACAGAAAAAAATGAAAATGGCAAAGGAGTCTCCTTACCCAGAGATCAGAGGAAACTAATTTTTTTTGAAGGACAGTTTTAAGGTCAATTGCCACTTTTGATTCTTCTTGTTCTTTTTATTTTGAAAGTGGTTTCTGTTACTTTTAATAAAAAACTGGTAACACACACGAGGACTGTTATACATGTAAGATACAACTATGCAGCTTGAGATAAATGCCTCAAATTATTTCACTACAGTAAGACAAGTAGATTCTGTACAAACAGTCATACAAAAAAATAAAATTAAAAAAAAAAAATCAACAAACAAAACCCCAGGTAACTTACTGTTCTTTTCCCTCTCTTGGTTCATTTTCTCTGCTGTTAGATCACTGATATCACTATCAATATTTGCTCTTTCCTCTTGTAATTTTTTCAACTCATTATTAACAGCATCAGTTTGTGGCTGAAGATTCTCACAGGCTGCCATTTTATGAAGCTCATTCTTCCAGTCCTCTATCATCTTGTGAGTGTTGTGTATTTTCCTCTGTCTGTCCATTTCTTCATCTTTTTTCATTCTCAAAGCTTGATGAATTTCTTCAATCTAAGAATTTTGAGTATTTCCAACATTAAAGGACTTTAGTATACAAAACCTACGACAAATAACTAGGATATCTGTGCAACTGGTATTAAATGCTGATGTAACCATACACTAAAACCATCAGAGTCTGTTGTATATCCAATAGCCCCATGACAGCTGAAGAACTGACAAGATTTTGTTAAGATGCAGGAACACTTAAGCAAAAATACAATCAAACCTTTAAATCAATTTTGAGGTTTAATTTTACAAAAGTAGAAGTTTAAAGCTTAAGACCTTCATTAACACTTTTGAAAGATAGTCTAAAATTGCATGAAACTCAAAGCACAAAGACAATGTACAACACTGACTCTACACCCTTACAGATTTATTTATACATTTCTTGACTGAGTGCTTAGATGAAGGTCTGTAACTGTTTTACATTATCTTTGCATTTTCTTTTTAAAAAATGTTGGATGTATACACGTAATAGAACAAATAATGCCAGCCTCTCAAACAGAATATTTGAGGGCATGTTTAATGCTGTGTGCATTACAGTGCTATAAAGGCTGCAGCATTACAAGGAAAGCCTGTAATAGATAGTATATATACACACACACTGTCTACTCCTAACTTTGTTGCATCAAGGTAACTGTTTTTATGCAGCATGCACCTGTACCTTAGTAATACCTGTTTAACCAATAGGCATTTTAAAGACTGGAGGGAGTGAAGTGTGCAAGCACTTGCAGTCTCTTCAGAGAAATTTGCCTCTCTACTAACAGAAGAGCCGACAAAAAAAAACCCTATCTGTGTTTTACTGCGGAATTTAAGTAGCATTTCACCTGAATGCAGTATAGGCTATAGCTAGTACTGAATTAACACATTAGCAAAGAAATACCAAAAAAATGTCATAAATATCAAGACTCTTACTTGTTTATCTTTCATCTCCAAAGAATCTTGCTTCTGTTTACACTTCTGAGATGTGTCTTTGATTTCAGCAGCCTGCATACAGATATTTAAATTAGATATAACTATAACTGAATTCATTACTACCTGTAAAAAGCAATCATATTTTAAAGAATATTCTGTATATGCATAACGAAGCATTTATTCAGCATTTTATTACTGACAAAGTCATACTCATCCATTTCTTATTATTCATACTTATATCTGTAACACATGTATTTTCAGCAATTTGTGAATAACAAAATAATGGCATATAAACTGTTGACAACCATTCAGCTAGAGATCTGTAAATTCACGCACGATAGACAGAGGAGGTCTCCTAATCTAATATGAAATTAAAATAACTCCATCCTCAGTGTCAATAAAAATGTTACATTCCGATCCTTACACTTGTAACATGTTCTTGCCTCTTTTTCCAAACCAACTTTACCAAGGAAAGCTTACACTTAGAGCAAGAAAGGCCTAAGTTCCTAGACAGAAGACAGCAACAACAGAATTTGTCAAAGTCATCCTACCTCTGAAGTGCATTATGCTAAAGCTATATCCTACACAGCTGAGCTTGACAACTTGTTGGCTCATGTTTAGGCACCAATGTCTCTATTCTTTCTCTATTCTTCTCAGCTTGTACAGAGCTCCAGAATAATACAGGTTGGAAGGGACTTCCGGGCATCTCCCAGTCCAATCTCTTGCTCAAAGCAGGTCTTATTAGGCCAGGTTGCCCATACACTTGTACAGCCAAGTCCTGAACACAGTGGAAGGATTACTACGCTTTCTCTACAAGTTTAATTCCTCCTTCCCTCAAGGCTGGAAACAGCACAAGCAGAACACTGGAACACTGAAGGATGGAGAACTGTAAGTAAATGCCAGTGCAGACATGGAAACAACCAACCCCACCACTCTTGCTGGAACAAACGTCTTCCTACAAACCAATTCACACAGAAAATGCTAAGATGCATCAAGAACGGAGAAAATAAAACTATGCAGAATCTTTTCCCTCCCACAATCTGAAAGATGCACAAATATTTAAGACCTTGACTCTACAGCTGTTTGCATGAAGGCTACATGGAACAATACAGCTAAGCCCTGCAGTTTACTCCAACACATAACTGATTCTGTGATGTCTTCTCCAAAGACCTCAGACAGGCACTCTGAAAAGGAAGCTCTCTTCCAGAAAACTGACACAAAATATTCACCAAATAATCCTGAAGGCTCTCAAAATCAGGCCACTAATAAGGAACTCTATACTGGGTTTGCATGGCAAGGTTTTGGTATGGAGGCAGCTACAGGGGTGGCTTCTGTGAGAAAATGCAAGAGGCTTCGCCCATGCCCGACACAGCCAATGCCAGCTGGCTCCAAGACGGACCTGCCACTGGCCAAGGCCGAGGCCGACAGCGATGCTGGTAGCACCTCTGTGGTAATGTATTTAAGAAGGAAGGAAAAAATACCTGCTGTGGCAACTGCAGACAGAGAGAGGAGTGAGATTATGAGAGGAACAACTCTGCAGACACCAAGG